TAGGAGCCTTAGTAATTAGAATAAGGTTTTGGTCTCCTCTATAGCATAGTTACAATAAGGAATCCTGGGGAAGAATATCGATAATGATTCAGGCTTCTATATTATATAGAAACAAACAAAACCTGACGCGCACCGAGTCCCCAACCCCAAAACTTCCTTAAAGCCTCTGGCATCTCGCGGGATAGGTCTCTAAACAAGGAACGAACCCAAAACCCCAAAAGCCTAAATCCCTAAACTCTAGCCGCCCCAAATCCCCAAACCCTCAATCCCTAAAGCTCTACACCCCAAATCCCTGAAGCTCTTAGCCCCTAAATCCCTAAAAGTGAAGGCTAAGGGCGCAACCTCGACCAATCCTTCGAACCAGCTGCCAGGTGACGCCCAAATCTGGGCATATGCCCTGGGCTCAATATAGGGGCCTTAATAATTAGAATAGGGTTTGGGGTATATTATGGAACACCCAAAACCCTTGTTGAATTATCAAGGCCCCTACAATTTTTGTTTGTTCCCAAGGATGGGGGGTTTGGCGTGGTTAGGGGCTTTGGGGTTGGGGGTGTTTGGGGATTTTTTGCCTCCTACCTAGCTAGGACAAAGCCCACATTGCAGGGTACAGGGCTAGGGGTTTAGGAATCAAGGGTTTAGGGGTTTGGGGTGCTGTCGCTCACTCTCAGACAAAGCCAAGCGTCTGGAGGGTTTAGGGTTTTCGGTTTAAGGTGTTTGGGGTTGAGAATAAGTTTATGGGGCCCAAGTGTAGGGTTTGGGGGTAGAAGGTTTACGGCACCGCAGTGTCTGAGGCTTCGCGTTTTGGCCAACCCACTTGCAAGGACCCAGAGAGATGTTTGCAGGTTGGTATCTTGGGATGAGCCTGTCCGGAACAGAGTCTAGACACATGCCGAGCGAAATGGTCTAAGACTAAGATACAGTGGAAAGTTATACAGTAGAAGCCCAGAAGTTGGAAACCCAAAAGCCTCAATTCTTAAGAGTCAATTACAAGGAATCCCAGCACTAATGGTCCTTAATCCGGTTTCCAATTTTTGGGGGCTTACTAGATTGAGATGCACCAGGTGGTGACTAAGGCCTGGAAACGCAGGGTTGCAACAACAGCAGCACAGGGATTCAGGAAGGTTGCCGCGACTTCCCAGCTCTTGGATTCCGAATTTGCGGTCCCTGGGAATATATGCACTCTCATCACCGCAATCAGTTCTCCCCTAGAGTAGGCCCTAGAGCCGTACTCGTAATTACACTCGAAGCCCTACACCTGAACTTCTGGAGCTCGAAGTAGGCTTCAGGAATACACAAAAACTTGTGGACGTCCAGGCGCCAGCGTCGGGGTGAAGGTCAGCACAAAGTATGCCGACCGTGCAGCAATGGTGATGTCGGTCGCTAGAGCCACACCGACTCCACCTGTCGAGCGTGAGGAACCCTAATCGCTTTACTTATATCTCAGTGAGCTTGAAAGGACTTAAGCTACCAGCTCTGCAATTCAAGCGCGAACTGCTAGACGGCAACCGCCTCCAGCCGTTGGACCCTGTACCACGGCCAGCGTCGGCTTCGGAAAGCTGCGCAGCTCCTTCCGATGCATTTGAGAGATTCTGACCAGCCGAATCCTATGAAACAGCCTGCCCATCATGTACCTTGCAATAAGGTTTGGTTCTTGCATCTATATGGCTGCTATAGCATGTGTATCGCGTGTGTTTAGTGACAAGAGACTTGGTGTTTGTGGGGCCTACAATTTGTAGGCCCTGCACAGGGGAAGGGCCCTTATGCTCGGATCAGATCGAGCTGCGCAAGCACCGGCGAGAGCAGGATGCTGAGACAAGTGACAAGGGTGCGGTTGCATGCGCAGTTAGGGAAAATCGAGATAAATGACTATGCGAGATCATGTTCACAGCGGGCACTATTCGACTATCCCTCCATCGTCTGTGTTGGAAGCAAGATGGTATTTGGAGCATTCAATATAGCAGCGGAAGCAGTGGTCATACAACTAACCAGCTGTAGTCATAGTAATGTGCATAATGATTCCATGAGAGTCAAGATGAGGGTGAAGAGGTCTTTGCTAAACATCCATCTACCGTGCGGCTATAGCACGAGACGGGAGCCTCCGCTTTAACTTATGGCTTCTCGCCTAAATTATAAATCTTACGGCCCCAGCCCGTAACTCCTAAACCTTGCATGCTTGAATGGAGTGGGGTCGTGGGGAGGGGGAGGTGGGGGGAAGTTGGGGTGTAACCTCTTCGTGGGAGTTTAATTTAAAAGCCTCGCAAAAGGAGCACAAAGCCGAAGACACCTTGCGAAGATGTTCAAAGCACACTGCCTGTAGATCGAATAGAAAACCTACTGCTGTAAAGAGTAGTTAGGCCCCTTTATGGGGACCTGCCTTTGGTAGTGCTCTGACCCTCGACTCAAGTCTGGACCCTGTATGTACACCTCAGGAGCCGTCCTCGATAAAAGGATTCCACGCCTGATGCAGTCTTGTGGCTTGGCTCGAATAGAACCTATTATAACATTCGCCTTGCCCTTCCGGACTCTAAACCCTACAATCCTAGACCATGATGTGGTGCTTCGGGTTAGGATGACGGGGAAATCACTATCATGAGGACCAAGGCCCCAACAGTCGCAACTCGAGCTTTCCAAGTGGCACGAAGCCAGAACCATGAGACCACAGAGCCCGCAAATAAAACAAAAACTGAAGCGCCAAAAGCTCAAAAGGCCCTAAACCCTGAACCCTAAACTCCTAAACCCTCTAAACCCTAAACGCTCAAACCTAAACCCTAAAGCTTCAAGCCCCAAAGCTCTGAACCCGAAGGCTCCAAAGGCCGAAGGCGCGGGCGTCGAAAGCTTCAAAAAGATTTAGATTCGGCCTATGAGCCCTAAACATAGGGCTTAAGGTATAGAGAGTTGGGTTTCGGGTTTTAGTGTTTAGAGATTTAGGGTTTAGGGCTTTGGGGCTTTAGCGCTTTAAGGTTTAGGGTTTAGAGATTTTGGTTTAGGGCTTTAGGCTTTAAACTTTCAAGCGGGCCTGTAAGGCACAGCCATGGCTAGGTTGAAGGCTGCTTGTGTTCCTCACTTCTACTGCTTAGGCTTTAGATTGTAGGCCTTCGTTTTCATAGCTTCGGGAATCTCGTTGTTGGTCTTTGTTTTGCGGGTTCTCTCCTTCTCCGCTCTCTCAATATGAATAATTCGCGATTTTTGACATTTCTGCAAGGATGAGACGCGGATGAGACCCTGAAGCCGAACTTGGATAAACGGCTGCCTCCTGCATGGAGTTGTCGGGCTTTGCTGGAGCTTTCGCAGGCGATGTGGGCGCATCCGAGAAGGCTGCGTGGCGAGGCTTTTGAGATCTTCGGGTGTTCCGGTCTGCTTGGCGTTTCGGATTAAGACATTGCAGCTAAACGGCTAAATAGAAACCTCAGCCCCATGAATTCTGAGTTAGTGGCTGTTGGTCGCCGGGCGTTCAGGAATTCATAAACCTGGCTTCGCTTCTCCAGCTGTCCTCGTCATGGCTCGTGTACATCGTGTCTGTGTTTGACTGAAGGCTTCGTGACAGCTTTGGGGTTGCCTTGAGGACGCAGCGATCCCACGAACACCTTAAAGCCCTGACGTGAGGTATATGCTCCATAAAGTGCAGTATATTCTGCAGAGGGTCACTGATGCATCATATTTAAGAACCAACGTATACATAGAAGCTTACCTGCAACGTGCACATACCTCATAGAGGCAAAACAAGATTTGGAGTGAGCAGTCACCAAGCCCAAACACGAGACTCTTCCAAACAAAACACGCTACCGACCCAGATTCCATAAACATGAAGCCCGATTCCGCCGAAGTAAACCCCCTATGCCCAAACTCCAAAAGCCTACAGCCCCTTCAGCCCAACCACCCAAACAATACACTTAAGCATATAGATAGAAAGATCGATAGATAGATAGACGCGGTGCTCCGACTCGCCCATGAGGCTGCATTGAACCCCAAACCCTGCCTACACCCAAAAACAACAAAACTAAACTCCAAACCCTAAAACCCTGAAGCCCCGAAACCCTGAATCCCCCAAATTTTACAATACCTACATCCCTGAAACAAAAGCAAAAGCGATCGGCCTCGCCTTTCAGATTCAGATCCGCCCCTGCGCAAAAGCCGCGCCCAGCCGCCACGAGCAGCAAAGCCTGCAGGGCAATCTAATGTAGGGGCCTTAACAATTAGAATAGGGTTTTGGGGTTCCTTTAAGGGTTCTATAAAGGCTACTATAAGGGTTTAGGGTTTAGGGGCAATAATAATTAGAATAGGCTTTTGGGGTATTTTGTACTCTAATTATAGCAAGGAACCCCCCAAACAAGTATAGGTAATTTATTTAGGCCCTTATATTACCCTGAACCCGAAGGACCTGAGAATGGGACCATGGTACCGCCTTGTTCCTTTAGGGCTTCCTTTCAACATGTATCGGGGTTACTATACGTTTCATTAGGGTGGTGCTGAGTGTGGAGGCCTGGAGAAGTAGAATAGTGCTGAATCTCTTTTTCAAGTGGTCTAGAAGGGTGGGTTTGGGGCTTAGGGTTTCGGGTTTGGGGCTTGGGGGCTGTTACTGGGCTTCGGGTTGCAGGGTTTTGCGGAAGTTGTTGACAGGATCTGACAACGGCTCCATAACATACAAATGCTCTGTCGGGTTCGATAAAGGATCTAGGTCTGGGGCTTGCGGTGCTTTAGAGTACGGGGCTTTAGAGCGTTTGAGGCACAGGGCTTGTATATCTAGGCTTTCGGTTTGGGGCGGTTGCAGAATTAAGTTTGTAGCCTGGACCGTCCTACAGCTTTTTCTTGTCCGGAAGGCTGTACGTACATATTGTCCTCCCTGCTACAGCCGGAATACCACCGTGGTGGAACCATAGGGCCACTAGTGCAGCGGAACATCATCACACCTTCCAACCCTTCACACCTGTAAAGAATCTAAACGTAAGCGCCACAGCAAACTAAGAAGACGCTCGCTAGCAAATTTGCACAAACCATGCCACTATCTCAGGACTGAAAAGAGACTCAATCAAGAGCCTGATTCACCTGAGCTCGGAACCCCGAAAACTGGAGCGCACGACCGGCCATCCGTGCCAAAACGAAACACCGCGCAAGACACTGGCTTCACTCGAGCCCTAGCTCGACAGTTCCTGATGTTCGACAGCAAACGTTCACGAAATTGAGGCCATGACTTGTCCTGAATGCTTTACTTGCGACGGACATGCCAATGCGAAACCCTCCACAGCCTTCGCAGAGCTCGCAGCTATCCGCCTCAACGCCTGCATCCGAACGCAGTGATCATGTTTCTCAGGTTTGCCTCTCGTCGATAAAGGGTTCCGTTTGAAGGCTTCTGACAAGATCGCGCTTTTCTGCGAATGGAACTTGATCAAATTCACCCACACCCACAACTTGGACAGAAAATGCAGTCGAAGCACTTCCCGAAGTTCTCGTACAGCCGGGACGTGAAGAGCATTCAACTTCTCCTAGGCTTCAAGTCGCCGTTGGATAAAGGTTTACGGTTGAGGTCAGTGGAACGAGTTTGGAAGCAACTTCCCAAAACAATGCTTTGGAATGTCCAGGGTTCACGACGATAGATACCGATAGATAGAGCCTTCCACCAGGTCGCCAGAAGCCAAAAAGGAGATCACCTTAACCCGAAGCCGTTGACCCCTATAAACCCCAAACCCTGGCTCGATAAAGTGGGCCTGGTCCTGCCAGGGTCTGGCTGCGAACGTACTAAACAGAATACGCACGGGCACTGCCTGAAGGCCCATGCTGTAGCTGTTTAAACGAAACCATCTATCCACAGCTAAAGGCCAATGCATTTGTGATCATTTGTGAACTGAGAGATTACAAGTACGTGATGAGCTGGAAACGAAACCGACAAGGTCACAAGCTCTAAGAACAGCTTTCATCTAGCAATGGAACAAGCCCAAAGTGGCAAGCACACGCCCGCAGAGCAAAAATGCGAGAAATCAACATTCCACACCAAGTCTGCTCCATTCCCCTACGCCAGCCAGCAACCCAAACATCTTCCAACCCTCAGACCCGAGAGCGACATCATACAAGCAATAGTAAAAGGTCGGAACCCCCCCCGACCTTCCGACACCAATATTGGGGCCTTAATAATTATAGAATAGGGTTCTATAAGGGCTATATACTATAAGGGTTTAGGGTTTAGGGGCCTTAATAATTAGAAAGAATAGGGTTTGGGGGCCCATTATACTATATTTATAATAAGGAACCCTCAAAATAGTATAGGTGATTTTTTAGGCACCTTTTCTTATATGCCCAAAACCCTCAACCTCCACCGCCACAAAGAGGTGAATCCTCACTAGGGCCCCAGATCCCCAGAAGTCCCAGAAAAGCACCTAAACCCTAAACCCTAACTCCGCAAGATTCGGCCGGGACTCTGGGCGGTTCAATGTCAACCACGCCAGCCCTGGGCTCAAACCCGGGTCTCTGAGGCACAAGGCTTCACATTTGGTGACCTGAATGTTTAGGGTCTAGGGTCTAGGGTTTAGGGTTTAGGGTTGAAAAGGGTGTGGTTTTTGTTTTCCCTCCTGGCTTGGACAAACCTAACCTACGATGCAGGGTCTCATTTGGGCAAAATGTTCAAGGCAACCCAACACGTCAGCAGACAAGTCCAAGGGTTCTGGGTTTTGGGTTAAGGGTTCATTGTTCTTCCAAAATTCGAAGATTGCCTGGGTCCGGGAGATTTTCAGACTTTGAGATACGATAACCGTCTATACGGAATGCAATATAGACCTGCATCCATATTTAGAGTTTCGACTGGCTTGGGGATTTACATGATTTAGGGATTCTGCAGAGCTTCCGTGTACACAACAAAACCTTGGGGTGTAATAAAAACTTTTCAGCACGGACTGAGGTGCCGGGCATAGCTCTCACCCCCTCTTGAGGCAAGAGCACACAGGAAAAGCTGTGGATGACAACGAACGGAAACTTGGCTGTAATAAACCCTAAGCCCTAAAACTTGAAGCTTCTTTGGACGACCCGGCTTCCTGAAACGGGCATATCGTCCTCTTCACCAGCTCCAAGCCTCAAGGCCTTCCCGGCAGTTTATGCAAACTTCACCAATCCTCGGACTGGTGGGGCGTGCCTGTTAATGTATCCGAATATAAGAGTCTGAGTAACGTAGTACATGACCAGTACTGTTCCTGAGGGGTCCTTGCTGCATAATTGTTACGATTAACGCCCAAGCCCTATTCTAGTTCTGAAGGCCCGATACTAAATCCTAAACTGCGATGCTTCCTGTAACCCTTCCAGGCCCCTTTACAAGGAGCCCTTAAATGAATCCTATTCTACTAAATTAGGGCTCCACATTCTATCGATAAGCGCCGAACCTGAAACCTGTCATTTGGAACTCCTCCGAAATACCCTAAACCCTAAATCCTAGACCCTAAACTCTTCTGAATAAACCCTAGATCTCAGATCAAGAGCCAAGGGTCCGGTGTCATCCTCGATCTCCTGAAGCTCCAGGCTTCTGCTGGGGTTCCAGATGTTGAATTCGTGCTTTGTTCCGTCTGGGGCGGTGACCGGTGTAAGGGTATGTTTATTACTGTGTATGTGTATATAGTGGGCGTATATGTACATGCCGGTGTGTGCTCTGAAACATGCACATCTCAGCGAATGTGAGTGACATGGGGGCTCGTGTATGTATGTGTGTCGACATGGCTGTTTATGGTTGTGTCTGTGCGTATGCACGTAGGCAGGCAGGCATGCATGCATGCACGTACGGAAATTAGTATGGAAGTATGTTTCCGCAGAAAACTTTTCATCGACAATCATCCCGAAGAACGATCAGCCCCGTGGCCGCAAAGAAGTCTTGCCAGATGAAGGCATCCTGTGCAATAAAGAACTTTTTCTGAGTCTACATCTCAGACATGACCTTGTGTTGCCTGCATCTTCAAATTAAACCTTACATCGGGCTTGCATAGGAAGAGTACAGCTGCTCATGGTTGCACTCCTGCGCTGCTTACCAGATGTCCGATTGCCGTGTTCGGGTTTGAAGTTTTGGCTTGTCAGCTCACTTAGTTTGGTGTTCGCAGGGTTGAAAATTAAGGTCACAACGGGTCGCAGCGAGAATGCGCAACCCGAAGCTGTCAAAACCAGGGGCAAGTTGCGCCGAAGTAGGATACCCTCAGTTTTTGGCCTCTGAACTCAGAGACCTCTTTTTTACGAACAAACTTCGCCGAAAAACCTCCCTAAACCCTAAACTCTAAACCCTAAAGGCTTAATCTGACGCGGCCCAGCTACCAGCTTGATGAACTGGAAGTCCCCGGCGGTAGACGACATCACCGCGGACATGAGGTGAGAGGAGGCGAAGCTACGGTATAGCGACAGGATCTTACGTTTGAAAGATAAGGGTAAGGTTACAGTCGGACTCTTTAGTTTAACGGGCTTCAGCGATCTCCAACGTGCATCCAGAAGCAACGGCCGGGGCTGCGTTTCAACTACCACTGCAAGATGTCCAATAAGAACTCCCAGAACATGAAGGACCGAGTGGAACAGTTCAGCAGCAGCAACCGCCACAATAGTGACAGCAACGGCATCAAGAACATAGCCAATAGCAAAGGCGACAAGGCAACAACACCCGGAGTCAGTTTAGGCCAACTCTACCACATTCTACCACATGTTGCCTTGTCGACCTCCGAAGACACAGGCTACGCAGTCTAGAACATGACAGCCAAACCTTGCTGTTCAGGCTGTTCACCGCAAAATCAGGCATTAGGTGCTTATACCTCGTTGCATCAATGCAAAGCAATTCTACTTCCTGTAGCAGGATGGAAAGCCACAAGATACGTTTGTGACAAGGGGTAAAGATGTTATCCAACAGATCGACAGCAGCACACCTTCGAATAAGCAACACATGCAGTACCTATGCTCTCTCGATTTTATCACCACCCTGTGAAGCTCCTCCAAACTGTATTGACATTTAGGGTTACCTCAACATCCCCAGCCTCCACAACAAACCAAAAGGGTGCAAAGAACTGAACCGCTTTTGACGACGAGTGCGCTTGGACAGAGCCGCTTTGGCCACATCCCAATGGGGCATCTTGGCTTCCGCCACTACAAAGAGAGCGTCCATGGTTTCGGAATTCCGGCCACTTCTGTAGCATGAAAAGCTGCGGGGTAGTAGTAGCTCTTATGTAGTCGTAGTACTTAGTAGTAGTTGCGGCAGTTCTCGTTGTAGTTGTAGTAGTTATTAGTGGTAGACATGTAGGGGTTTATACCGCTGGAGGCCAACAACAATGGCAGGAGCCAAGTCCCCCAACACTACCGGCAGCTCACGAGCTCAGCGCATGTATTGGATCGCCGCACGAGTGCCAGGCTCCATGATGGGTTTGATGAGGTCGGCAATAACCTTTGTCGGCTTCCAGCGGCCAGGAAAATTTCGAACTAACTAAAGCAACAGCGATGTATGAGAAGAGAAGAGCAAGTGGACCAAACCGCATCAGCGTAGCAACAGCATCGGCAACAAGTGCAGGGATCGCAGAAGCGACTGGCGAGTTTGTCAAGGTGGTTCATCCGACACATGTCCCGCAGTCGTTCCACCAGCACTTCTGAAGTTATGAAGAGCTTCGAAGTGTTTTGTAGTTGGGAGCATGTTGAGGTTTGACCACTCACATCAACCAGGGCATGATTAGAGGAGCTCCATCGCTGGAAACCAGAAAGGAAAAAGCTGCATTTGGGTTTCAAGAAATGCTGCCGTTTGGGGAGTTCCGTCCCCCAGAGAGCCCAATACTCCTTTCAGAATACGTTAAATCATAACATTATTCTTCTATCATCTTGGGACATCTAAGGCATATTCCCAAATTAAGGGGTATCAGGCTGGGAGGATCCCCAAGGCCAAACTTGAAATCCTGAGCCCTTACTCTCCCTCCCAAACCGGACAAGCGCTGACTCAAAATGGCTGCATTGCTAAACATGTAAAGGACGCAAGTACATAGACTCAAGTACTTTGTGTGTTCTGAATTATACCTTCATTCACGACTACCGTCATATGTAGTTAATTAAGCATACGTACGCACATACGTGCGTACGCGTACCTATGCATGTATGTGTGCATGTACTTGTTATCAAGTGAATACAAGCGTAGCAGTAATGATATGGATGGCCGTAGCAACAAGAGCTCACACTAGCAACAAGACACGACTAACACGAAGTTACGACACTGAGAAAATCGGTTGTAGTCGCCTGGATAGTGTTTGCCAAGGCTCCTGTTGATGCTCGGGGTGAGCTGCATAAGCCTCACAGACAAGCCCAAACCGTCCCAAACCCCTTAATTGAGCGGTCCCAAACTCGATCCCGATCACAGTTAAAGGAAGAGTCCAGAATTTTCAAGCTTGGTGGCATCTGAGCTAGACTGCGGTTGATGAAGCTCAGTTCTAGTAAGGGGCCGGGCTTCAGACCTCGGTCATACCAGGGTTTCGACATTTGGCTTATAGTGTCTCGCACTGTAGGGGGCTGTAGGGGATTCAGGTTTACAACCCTACTTGCATCCAAAACCAACATGATGGAGGCTCCTCACTGGCAATACCCTCATAAGTCCCGTGGCTTCTTGTTACAAGTGGGTTGCGAGGCGTGGCGCTTCGACAAGGCAGGGGGGGTCTAAGCCGACACTCTGGAGCCCGAGCTGTCAGGCCAACCTGACATAAGTTGAGGCACGCGCTGCGGTTTAGGGTTTAGGGTTAAGGGATGATCTAAGTTTGAACGGCTGCAGGGCTTCCTTGAACGAGGAAACCTCCCGGGTCAAGCGAGCAAAGAAACGCACCCCACAGCTACCTCAACACATCGTGCCTCATAGTCCTCCGTTGAAGCGAAGTCTGCAAACCACCTCGGCTGCAGGATTGAATTTGAAGGCCGTGGCTTTCTATTCATTCCGGCTTTACTCTTGTTTGTACTACTGCTCTCTGTTTTCAGGGCTATACAGTGCTGGCATATCGGATCCTGCCGAACATCCGTGACTGAGTGCTAGGAAACATGATCCAAAGATTTGGCCGGGCATTGTGAAGGCAATGCCTGCTGGGTTCAGTTGTCAAACACTCAAACCCCGAGGCCTCGAGTGCTGCGAAGCGCTGAACCCTTAACACGGACAGGCACAAACCCTAAGCATCCCCAAGCCCAGTTTAGGCTTTAGGTTCAAGGTTTGTCGTTTAGGGTAAAGCTCGATTTGATTTGCGGTCCCGGCTGTGCGAGCCGGGTCTGCTGCCCAGTCACGTGCAGCTTCGGTTTTTCCCGGCCGGGTGTGTCTGCCTGGAGCTCGGCTTGCGTTTTTGGGCTTCTAGGGTTTCGGGGCTGCGTGTTTAGTTGGCGAGGGGTGTTGATCTGTGGGACTATCCACTCTTCTGGCCAGCCCGTAGTCTCATGCAACGACGAAAAGCTTCCTGCAATGTTTCACTGCAGCTGCTAGTTTGATTTCCGTCCTGTCGTGGATGTTCGTGCGGCACAAGGCTTCAAGTGATAACCGCAATTCAAAAGGAGACATCCTCTGCATACCTGCACCTTTTTACACAGGCTTGATTGTAGCTCGCCCGGCCAGGTCTCCCTCAGCAAACCCAGAACCCTTGAACTCGCCCCTTAAGCTCACTTAAGCTCTATAAGCCATAATAAGAAAACCATTCAGAAACTCCAGACTCCTTCGGGCAGTGTCTTTGCTGCACGGAGTTGGGTGCCGGGGTTAAGTTGTCGGGTGCATGATTTTAGTTTGAGGGTTAGGGTTTACGATGCTAAGCAATTCAAGGGCTAGCTTGCGGAAGATTTAGGCTGATGTAGGAAAAAAAGTTGAGATTTTCGCTGCTGCTGCCACCGTGCAGCCTGATAGTGACAGGGAGCTGAAAGATCCTCAAATCCAGCAATAATCAAAAGTGCTACACTACAGGTATCCCACAGATCTGATGGAATTACTGAAGACTCTCACAATATGCCGATGGCTGCGGCTAGACATTGCAAGTCGAAGATCAATCAATCTATATGCCTTGTTGCACTCTGCTCCGCAACCGGAAAGCGCCGCGCAAACTGCGCATGCGTCAAAGAGATTACTTTGGCAAGCTTCAACAGGCAGTTGTGTTGATGCAGGATGCCCGAACGATGATACAGGCGAGCATTGCTATAGCCGAGCAGCGGCGGATGATACGCGATCAAACTGCCGATCATTCCGTCGGAAAACAGTTGTTGCAAGAAAGCCAACTTGGGAGAGAGGTTTCGGTCGATACTGTAACTCAGAAGTCTGGGATGATCGGCAACGGCTTTCGCTGCCTGCTTTCGACTAAGCCCAGCACCCTCCAGCCAAGCCACTGTGGGTTTCAGATTGGCTTCCATGCTCAAGCCCAGGAACTGCGGAAAACCAGCTACGACTTTGGCAATCTGAGCTGTGCTCAAACCAACATCTTCAAGCCATGCGGCTGTCGGCTTCAAATTGGCTTCAATGCTCAAGCCCAGAACTTGCGGATGCCTAGCAACAACTTTGGCCACCTGTGCCCGGTTCAGACCAACATCTTCGAGCCATGCCACTGTGGCTTTCAGATTGGCTTCAATGCTGTAGCCCAGGACCTGCGGAAAACCAGCCACGACTTTGGCGATCTGAGCTGGGCTCAAACCAACATGTTCAAGCCATGCGGCTTTCGGCTTCAAATTGGCTTCAATGCTCAAGCCCAGAACTTGCGGATGCCTAGCAACGACTTTGGCCACCTGTGCCCGGTTCAGACCAACATCTTCGAGCCATGCCACTGTGGGTTTCAGATTGGCTTCAATGCTCAAGCCCAGGAACTGCGGAAAACCAGCTACGACTTTGGCGATCTGAGCTGCGCTCAAACCAACATCTTCAAGCCATGCGGCTTTCGGCTTCAAATTGGCTTCAATGCTCAAGCCCAGAACTTGTGGCTGCCTAGCAACGACTTTGGCCACCTGTGCCCGGTTCAGACCAACATCTTCGAGCCATGCCACTGTGGCTTTCAGATTGGCTTCAATGCTGTAGCCCAGGACCTGCGGAAAACCAGCCACGACTTTGGCGATCTGAGCTGGGCTCAAACCAACATGTTCAAGCCATGCGGCTTTCGGCTTCAAATTGGCTTCAATGCTCAAGCCCAGAACTTGCGGATGCCTAGCAACGACTTTGGCCACCTGCCTTCTGCTCAGCAGACCAACATTTTCAAGGCATGCCACTGTGGGTTTCAGATTGGCTTCAATGCTCAAGCGCAGGACCTGCGGAAAACCAGCCACGACTTTGGCAATCTGCACTGGGCTCAGACCAACATCCTCAAGCCATGAGACTTTAGGTTTTAGACTGGCTTCAATGCTCAAGCCCAGGACCTGCGGAAAACCAGCCACGACTTTGGCCACCTGTGCCCGGTTCAGACCAACATCTTCGAGCCATGCCACTGTGGGTTTCAGATTGGCTTCAATGCTCAAGCGAAGGATTTGCGGATGCCTTCCAATGACTTTGCCTGCTTGCGCCCGGCTCAGACCAATGTCGTCAAGCCATGCCGCTGTGGCCTTCAGAGTGCCGTCGATGCTGGTTCCCCAGATTCTTGGAAGCTTGTTTCCTAAGGCATTAATCGTGGCTGTTGGCAACTCTAAATCCTCTTCCAGGAACCCGAGCACTTTGGCCTTGTTGACATCAGAGATCCCAGTGAACATGGCCTGACTTGCAAATTTGCATGCCTCGGAAAAGTGTGCCTCCATCTCCGCTTCGTTCACTGCGTGGAGACGCTTGCAAACATCCGTTCGAAAAACATGCTGGTGGCCATTAAGAAGGTGCCCCACGGTTTGGCTTAAGACATGGTTTAATGACGGCGTGTGGCCTGCCCGCCACGTATTCACAATCACTTGTATCGAGCCTTCCATGCTGCTCAAACTCAGTCGGGCATGCCGAATTCGCAGCACATGCGAGCCGGCGGGTGCATACTGCAGCAGGGCATTTGTCTTTCGCTCGTCTGCGCTGTACCCCTGCAGACAATAGTGCCGATAGTACCCGTCATACTCGACGAAGAGAGCTGCGTCTTCCGCTTTCAGCACCCCATAGGCTGTGATGTCTGGGCACAGCCAGCGCGAACCCCACTTCTCCGAAGGCTCCACAGGGAAGTCCCGAAAGAGCTCCCTGATGGGCTCAGCTGGCATCAGAAGCTTTGCAAGCCGGGACAACAGCTCCACTTCCGCATAGCTCCGGTGCAAAGTTCGAGCTCGGCCCTTCCTCCACCAGGTCGGTGCTTTGCAAAGGTGGCGGGAAGCAACAAGAAGCCCGGCTGGATGCCAGGTTGCCATCAGAGCTCCGAAGCCTTGCCATGGATTCCTACACCGCCACCTCGAAAACAGCATCATCTCATCCCTCGTCGCGCATGCCGACCCTGCAGAGTTCTACTGCCTGCTTTGGCTGCAATGCCTCCAGCAGATGCTTGACGAATATGTGTGGATTTCGAAGTGGTAGGCTACCAGCTAACTCTGACTTCAACCCAAACCGCTCGACACCAAGCCTTGCATGAAAAAGCTAACGAAATTAAAGACGGCTCCGACATGAAAGTTAACGTTGCCCCTCAAAGGGTAGAGCGAAAAGGGACAGTACTTCGTAAAGGCCGGAGGCGACCCCTGAATCTGAAGCCGCACCTCCGACCCTTGAACAAGGTCCCACGAAAGCGACCCAAAGAACCCCAAACCCCTATGCTGCAGGCTTGCAAGCAAGATCGCTGGTAGGTAGCCACTCTAAACCCGTTTTGCAGCTGGGCTTGGGGACTAAACGCGAAACCCTGAACCCTAAACCGTACCTACAGAACCCTAAAACTCGACGCGCAAGTTCCGAAAAGAGAAGCGAAGATGCCGGCGAGGCTCCCGCTTGGCAACTTCAGGTCAACTCCGAACTCGAACCTGCGGCTTTAGGTTGCTTTTGGTAATCAGTTAGGGTGTATAGGGTTTTGGGGTTTAGGGTGTTAGGGTTGAGGGCTTAAGGTCTTTAGTAATTAGGGTGTATAGGGTTTAAGGCTTAAGGGCTTTAGTAGTTTACTTCTACTCAAACCTAAACTGCCAGCTTTAGTAGTTTAGGTGTTCATTAGTCAGGGTGTACGCTTTAGGGCTTTAAGGGCGTAGGGCTTCAGGGTTTTAGGGTTTCGTGTTTAGGGCTTAGTGATTAGGGTCGAGATTTTAGAAGTTGGGTTTAGACTTTAGGGTTTCGGGGGACTTGGGATTTGTTTTGTGAGGTTTAGGGTTCAGTGTTACTTTGCTTTAGGGCTTCTGGTGCTGGAAGGGTCCTACCCGCGGACGCCACTATGCTTAGTGGAAGTTCTGCTCTAGCTGTCCATCTTATACGATTGTTTCGACAAGACCTAATACTACGAGCATGCTTTCCATTAGCCCAAAAGCACAGCTTCTCCGTCTCTTGCTTGGTATAGGATTTTTGGGCTCGGGCTCCAGGTGTGTTCATCAAGATGCTAAAGGTACCAGCTCTGGAACATCATACAGGGCCCATGAACAGCAGGCTAGGGTTTCGGTGTAAACTGCAAGGTTGTATACTATTGTTGATAATTCCCATCCTTATAAGAAGAAACACAGACTGTGTGCTGTCCAAGTCACTCGAGGATTTTGCACTTGTCCTGACAGCCATGCAATGACAAGGCCGAAGGCATGATCGGCGCTGCGGGAAGTAGTTGTATCTTCCCTGTAATGTGGAGTAGGCTCGGCTCCAGGATAGTGCATGAAGTACAGTAGTAAGGTCAGACGTAGTAGTCAAGCCTAAGGAAAGTGATCGAACACAGCCGCTTCGCTGAGGAAGTCGTGCGGTCGAGATAGACACATCTACGAATACAACTCTCAGGTTCGACATGACATAACACAGAAGCCTCGGTATATGACATATCCGCATGTCATACCTCCATTAACATTCCGACAAAGGCAGGTAGTAAATTCCAAGACCCCGAAGAAATGGTTTACCACATCTACGGGCACCCCATTTTCTACCAAACAAGCCGCGGGGTAAGAAACTTGGCTGCGAGCTAACCACTGAAGGAATAGCATTTTGCTTCAGCTCAATGCATGTACGTATGTATGTATGGATGGATGCATGCATACATGCATGAATGAATGTATGTATGTCTGTCTGTCTGTATGTATGTATGTATGTATGTATGTATATACATAAGTACATATATATATATATATATATGTATGTATATATATATATATATATATATGCATGTGCGTGTGTGCATGTGTGTGCATATATGAAGATTCACCTCTGTCGATCTATCAATCTATCGATCTATCATTCGATCGGTCTGCCTATCTACTTACATTCATATACATGCATCGGTTCTACAAACATTAGAGCTCGGCAGCAGCTGTGCCTTCAAGGCTGCGAGCCCCTCTTTGACCGCCATAATCTGCTCCTGTGGGCCAGACTTCATGAGGGATCTTCGGTTCAGGTTTAGAATTTGGAGTGTATACCATGGATCTTGGTATCTTGGGGGGGGGAGCTTCAGGTTTAGGTTTTCGGGTGACAGCATTTGCTACTTCTTAGGGCAGAGTTGAGAGATCTGCCTTGGTCAGCCATGGCTTGCAACGAACGGCTTAGGTGACATAGATAGATCTCACTTACAGGCACACTTGCCGCAAGCGACTAGTGCCGGTATAGCAGTGACAGTCTGTCCTTGTATGGGACTGCCACCGGCATTGTCCCAAGGATTACGATATCTATCACTCGTCATGCCCAGCCACCACCTGCTTACCTTCCGACCCCAGTATGAAGCCCGAGATTCGCCATGAACCCTAAACCCCAAGCCGCAAACCCTAAAACGCCGAAACCAGAAAACCCAAAACGCATGGATGCAAAAACTCCATGCCCGAAACCCAATACCCGTGTTTCAAGCCCCTATAAGCTGCTTGGACCGTTCAGGAAACCAAGTCCTCGGCGGCGGACTCCTTGACACCAATCCTTGGGCTTACGACGACGGTCCAGGAAGTTGAGGGTCGAAGTAGCTGCTGTCTTTTGATGAGCAGGGGACTTCGTAAGAAGGATCTAAAATACTTTAACTATAATAGGTTTATCTATTTATGGCCCTAGTTAGGGTACTAGTACCTATAACCCTAGTTACTAAGTCCCCTGAACCTCTAATCAGGTTCTAAGGTTCGGGGTTGAAGTGCTTCGGCAGTCTTGGGTTGAGGAAACTTACGTTGCAAGCGCTGGCTTCGAATTTAACATTCCCGCCTAAAGCCTCACATGCCCCCCAATGGCTGTTCATGCTTGAGGAGCCGTACGAACAGATCCGGATCTTCCAATCTCCCCACAAACGAAACCATGAGCCGCCCAAGCCCGAAAACCGGATTAGGGTCTGTGATGGAAGCTTAAATTCCATAAGCAAGTATCGTTACAAGTACTTGAAGGTTCATGGGTAACAGTATTGGCAGGATCAGAGCTCTAGCTACAAGGTTGCATGTAGCGTCCCCTGGCTACCTGGCCATTATGCTGCAGTCAGGCCCAAAAGCACAAACTGGCAATGAGTCCTGAGCCGTGAGCTTCCCAAGGCACAGAAACCAAATCTGCAACTTTCTGCAGCCTCAAACCTAAACCGCGCCAAGAACCCCACCAGCTTCTCTATCCGAGACTCTGTCCGTCTGCTAAAACAATCATGCGCCTTCATTTGTGGAGCCCGAAACTCCGGACCGCAATTGAAGAAGCAAAGCCCTCGACCTCCCGCATTGGGCCTTTGTGGAAGTTAAGCTTCGATTCGAAGAAGTCTGAAGCCTCAACTGAACCCTTCTTTAAGCCCTGGCTTTGCGCATCCCAGTGTCATCACGACATGGCGGACGGCGCGAGCCATGGCTGAGCGAAACATCGGCTCAGGACAGAGCCAAGTTGGCAAATCAGCTGCGAGCGCGACGACAGAATCCTGACTAAACCCTTCTACGAGTAGGAGCAGTATCCGTCTTCGCGATCGTCGTGGTGGTGGACATCGGTGGTGCTGGGAACACTGTGGGCTATGGGGCAAACTCTTGTGGGAAGTTTGAGAGGCGGGGTCGACAAAAGTCATGCCCCGGCCAGAAACAAAGCAGTAGCTGCTGGCCTTCTATGGGGGTATCCCAACCTCGCAGTATCCCGGGTCGCACATTTCTCACCTCATTCTTCCGATTCCGCTGCCACCAGTAGGAAGGACTCGCTGTCCTCGAGTCAGAGACCCCCAAAAAAAGCTTGGGGTAGGGGCGCCCGGTTCTCTATGTGATGTATACTCTCCAGGCCATGTAGGGAAGCGACAGCTCTAGTTAGCCACGTAATCACACTTATCTGTTCATAAGGCTTCCGATGCGAATGAAATGTGGCTGACTGTCGTGTCCCCCGAACTCTGCTGCAGATGATACATCTCCGTGCCGTGAGCGAAGCTAGCCGAGCTCCGTGAGAGGCAGCTTGAGTTCCGTGTAATATGGGGATGGGCATGTACTCTTGACTAGAATTACTTAGGTTTCGGCAATTTTCGGAAAATGACTCTAAGCCATACTAGTTCGGAACAACAAGACAGGGACACCCAAGTAAATAACGTCTCGCGTGATCTATAGTCGAGTGTAAAACATGGCTGGGTTTGGGCAGGTTTCAGCAGCGTTGCATGCATCGGCTCTGGCCCAACAGGGGTGTCACGGGAATGCAGCTTGCATTATCAGCCTACAATGATGCTGCGGTTGATGTCCAAACATCTCCTACAGCTATATGCAGCTGAAGGCACGGGTGCAGCCGAAAACCCAGCTGCAGAAGTGAGCGTTGCAAACATATGTCTGCACGCAAGAAGTCTGTTGTACCTTACCTTACCTAGGTCCTGACGGAAAACCAATCAAAAACCGAACCCCTTAACTGAAAGTATCCGCCTAAGAGACCAGCGACCCCCCCTTCAGGGATCCGACTTCTTAGACACGTCATCCAGGATGCCCATCTGGATGCCTGAAGACCTAAGGCCTTAAATCACCACGAACTTCTTCACAGCCCTAGACTTACGAAACACCCCAAACCCCAAGCCCCAGCTAAAAGCCAAATCCCTTATATACCTGCAAGCAGGAAGCCAAAGACGCACCGAAGAGAGCTGCGGCGGCCTGCATCACCTTTATGGGTGGGGGGCTTAGAGCTTTGGCTACAGGGATTTTGGGATTTAGGGTGTCTGGCAGAATCTAGCAGTCTGAGGAACTCTTGAACTCGGGGATTCAAGGATCAGTTTGACTTGTTATCAACGTGAAGTTTAAGGAATCGTCAGATTTCGAAGGCTTATGGTGCGAAGACTTGCTTGCTCAGGGTTCAGGGCTTGGGATGCTCGTTTGAGGTTTTGGGGTTTTGGGTTCCCCTCTAGGCCCCTCCCCAGACTTAGCAAAAAAGATCGCACGATCCAGGATACGGTTTGGTGCTCCAGAGATTGGTTGCTGCTTTCAGTCGGCTGCTGACCCGGGTCCAGCAGAAAAGAAACAAGATTCAATCAAGGCTTCCGTCTCAAGATCTGCAATAAAGCTCCGAGGATAAAGAACGCGTGAGACCGATAACCGATGAGGCAATGATCGAACAAAGAACCACAACGACCCTAATAATCTTTCACCCACATCAAGATTCGACAACTTTGCCTGACTCGCTACTAGCCACCCAGGGCAGAGAGTAACTCTCGAAACTCTGCAGCAAACTTCTACGGCTGCGTTTCCTCGCGATGCTCGGACCAACGACGAACGAAATGACGGTGAGACCGACATCCAGGGTAAGGAAAGTATGTGTGCCAAGCCAAGTGGCCTTGAGGACAAAGTCGATGAGCGTCGCTATCCTGGGCTCTTACAGCAACCTACATCATGGACCTACATGGTCGTGTGTGCATAGTTTGCCTGGTGGTTTGGGTGGGCCAGGCTTGTTCTCGGGAGCGGTCAAAACGGATGTAGTTGTCGTCCAGGGGTAGCACCGAGGCCAGCATAACAAAGTCTAGGAATGTTTCGCCCCGGCACATGCTAATTAATTACGGGCTAGAAAAGCAAATCATATGACATGGTCCTGGCTCGAAATACTTCCAGAAAGATTCGGAGACCGAACACATATGAAAGCACAGTTACACCTTGTAGGCCCTGAAACAGGTGCTTCGCTCTTAACCCAAGACCCCTAACTGCACCTAGAGAGCCCAATGAACCTTCATTGAGCAAAAAAGCCTGCCTTAAATCCTATTCCTATTCACCTATTCAAGGCTCCGGCTATCCCCGAACCCTAGACCGTTCAGCCCTTGCCGGGCAGCAGGTTCAGAACCTTGATCCAGCTGCCCTGATCTTTGCCTGCAGCGTCCGTTACTAGTGACTAGCGAGCTTGGGTCGGGGTCCAACACACGGACGTAGATGCGAGAGTAACGATCCTGGTAGACGCGTACACATGTGTGTACGCACTAATATACTTAATATATATATATATATATAATAACACAACACACTACACATAATCTCACATGACATTAAATTACATTACAGTACATTACATTTGTTACATTACATTGCATTACATATGTCCCAACGGCATCTTCACCAGCGGGAGTTCGCAGAGTTCAAGATATGTATACATTACGTTACATTGCCTCGCTTTATCCTGGACGGTTGACTTCCCGCAGCCCAAATACAAGTCAAGTCACTGATAATCTGCTTGCAAATTCCTTTGAGCAATGTTTAGATGACTACTTCGAGGAAAGATCTGTCACCGAGCAACTATCACAAAGGCACACAACGGTACTGAACAAACGGGCTCCCAACTAGGCAGCTCGGGCCCTTGTCCGTAAGGATACGGCCTCCAGCTCATAAATCATGACACAATATTAACATCTTCTGCCCGAATTCTTGCAAACACACACGCACACACACACACACACTATACGATCGGTTTCATTGTCATGGGTCATATGCCTTAATTATGTTTCTTTTCATTGACAAACCGGGCCCTGCACCTTCATTCTCAAAGCAAAAGACCGCGATCAGCATAACCACCTCGGGCACGAGTCTTCTTACTTTTGATGCGAATCTGGAGAAAGGGGGCTTCCTGAGAGAGGATTTCAACAAGGATTCATCGCGGGTTCATGGCTCCTCCGCTCAAACGCTACTTTTCCGAAGGACATGAGCGCAAGAACAGGTGTACATTCTACTAGCATGCACCTCGGATAAGAAAAGGCTTGGTTTCAGGGTTTAGATTTTAAAGACCATCCGCACAAGTAGTCCAACTTGCAGGCGTTTGCGAAGGACTGGGCTCCTGATCAATCCGAAGCCAAGTTCACGCATGGAGTCTTAAAATAATGCTTCGAAGCCCTGCCCGATCTCCAAAGAGGCTCTTCAACTCTGGATCTGTCTGACTGCATGGTTTGTGGCTCAGGCTTTAGGGCCCGGGATAGTATCACCGGAAGTCGCACAAAGATGACATACATGCGCGCTGAGAAGCATCTGCGCAGCCGGCGGCGACGGAGTAGCTCAGCTCCTTCATTCCATGGTTCGCAAGCGCGCATGCAGTTGCAATGGTTGTTTCGGCAAGGTCTGCCTTGTTCCTGAGGTTAGCTAAAGATTCTCAAAAAGGCTTGTGTTGCTCAATTGCTGTCGCGGTTATAAATAGACAGCCAGAAAACGAGGGTCTTCCCAAAGAAGGACGTGCACGCCCCGATTGTCGCTTTTTTTGATGTAGTGCATCTCTTAGAGTTAGACCCTCGTTCCAAAGTTGGTGTTGCATGTCGACTGTAACCTCTTTTGTTTCCAGCCTGCGGCGCCGACTGTAACCCCTAAGCCCTAAAACCCTGAACCCTTGTTTCACAAGGGACTCGTCTGCTGCCCTAAACCCTAAAACCCTAAGTCATAGCCAGGGCACTGGGCATCGTTGGTCCAGCAGCTGAGGTGTCGTGAGAAAGAGGCCGCCCTCGGAAACGAAGCGTTGGAGAGCTGTGGTTGGCTTTTTGTTAGGGTTTAGGATTTAGGGTTTAGGGTTTCGGGTTTAGGGCTCCGCAGGAAGACCCTCTGGCACCCAACTATCAGAGCCCTGTTCGTAGCAAGGAGTGCTTGGAAAGGCTGCCCTCCGGGCACACTATACCTCGCATATGATCGTGCGTGCAGGCTGTACTTCAAAACAGTGAAACCTTCTTTTGCATGTAAATACTCACAAACGCCGCCATAAAAAACGCGACATCTGCATGTGGGCTCCTCTCGCCACCAAGTGGCGAATCTGGAGATACTGACTGAGAAGCCATGGAAGACGGTTCCGGTTGCTCTGGCACCCCCAAGGAAAGTCCCGAATACCCTATAGTACGTCTAAAACCCAAGCCCTTCCCCCTGAATCCTGAAAGCACGTCAACCCGCGAACCCCAAACTCTTTCGTCTGTGGCTCGAAGAAGGCGAATAGAATCACTCCTGTCCCCATCATCGAGGACATCATCGCGGCAACTTGGACGCCCTGATTGCAGCGGGGCAGGCTGCCCCCGAGTCCGGAGTCTGTCTTATCTCACGGGAACTTCAAGAGGGATTAGTGGAAGCATCTCATTATACAACTCTCTGGGTCCTTTGAAAAGTAGCATGACAAAGCACGTCGCCGAAGCAGTCGTGCTAGTAGCTGTGGCCTTTCTTTCACGGTCTCGCCAAACTTCTAGAAGCCCTTCAGATCCCTTCGGCGGTCCTGGTCCATGTTGCACATGCCCTATTATCTTCCTAGAAGGCTTAACTTTGCCCACAGAACTGACATGGAATGGAAAACACCATTTACCTAGTGCTTCAGAACCTCTCTAACCTTCTGTAGATATAGCATAGGACTTTGGGGCTACTTCATGCTATCGTCTTTGAACAGGTTGCAGGATGTGAGCGGTATGGTATTTCCGATCGAAACTCCGCTGGCTCAGAGCCTTTGGGGCTTGAGGTCCAGATTTTTGGGTCTTGCGGCTCGTGGATACACTAATACACTCCCCCTCTCCCGCCTGAGAGGCTCCCACATCAGCAGTGTACTCCCAGAACCTGGGGAGTGATGAGCGTCCCAATCGTGCACATAATTGCTCAGATGATCCAAGAACCTGCTCTACCCTTCTAGCCCCATGTGTACCCTAAACCCTAACCCTAGCCTACACCCTAAAGTTTAGGGCTTAGGATAGGGTTATAAAGTTTAGGGTTTAGGTGTTTAAAACCCTCTATAGTCCCAGGCCCCAGGTCTACGGTCGAGCTCCGTAGAGTCGTAGAGCCGAACTTGAGCCTGAACCCTTCCATGCTCTCCGCGAAGCTTCCGAACAACCTCACCCCACAATTCCAACACGACTTAACACTCTAAAGCCACACAGCCTAAACAAGGCACCCTAAAACCGTTTAAAAAAAGGACAAGCACATGACACTAAACAAAAGAGTGTCAGGGCCTACGTAATTAACAAGACTAGGTCATGGTGAGCTTAAACTCGACGTACACTCACCAAACAAAAACGTAATAGCAAATTTTGCAAGCCCCTATAGCATCCTTGTAGCTTCTTGGTTCTAGATCTCTCAAAAACACTAGAAGTGTAGCTATCAGGCAAACTCACCACATAAGCCCCTACAAGCCCCATTTTTTCCGCCAAGGCACCACCAGGAAGCGGTCTGGTCGCACACATCCCAGGCAAACAGGACAGTGAAGTAGGCGATGCTGAACTTCCTTCTTAGGTTACTGATCTGGCTTCGCCTAGACCCTCCGGAGCTCTCCCCCATCACCCCACCCCGAACGGGCCTTTGCGACGAAAGCTGTTCTTTGCGACAGCGCTGGGTCTGTGCAAATATGCACGCCTCGGTCACTGCAAGAGGGTCCAGAAGCAAACACCTTATGTAAGCAACTCAAATTTAATACTTTCCACGGGGATCCGATTGACACAGCTTGATCGGCAGAATCCCCAGCAACCTAGTACATCTCATGAAAACAGTACAAGTAGCATGACAAAATCAAGTTGTTTAAAGCCTGTGCCCATGACAAACGCGACAAGCATCTCGTGCCCTGCACAGGCCAGAAATGCACCCACAAACACATTCAGCACAACTTCCCTAGGGCTCCGGTTACCCAAATGGCAGATCACTACCCATATGACACTATGTAACCCAGTAACCCACGATCCTAGGATTTTCTCCGATCCCACGAAGACCCCCATAGCCGAGGCAGCAGCGAAGCCAGTGGATGCGAAGATGAGGAGCCTGGACAGTCACATCGAGGACTTCAGGGTTCAGGCTTTGGGGTTTCGGGCATTGGACTTCATTCTTTAGGAGGTAAGGGGCCCCTTCTTCCCAAATTCTTCGAACAAATACCTGCAGTTGTATATGTTGTTTCCCGGTTCAGTGAAACAGGAAGCGCCGGCCAAGAAACCGTGAACAGAAGCAAGATCCAAGGCAACGATGCCATCCAGAGGAACAACACCTGGAAGCCGAAAACAAGGCAACAAATTAGCGAGACCTGTGGCGAGACATAAACCTTCGACCTAAAGTGCTGAGCCCTGAAGCCCCCAGACAAACAGCTACACCAAACACAACAACAGTACGAGTATGCATTCTGTCAGTGGCAGTGATGATGAGAATAATCATGATAACTATCCAAAGAAGCGAAGACTAAAGCCGCGGCACGGCACCAAGACGTTTGGGTAGAACAGGTCCACGTCGCAGCAGGTGAGCAGATCATTGCTGCCACAGAAACCTACCAGCTGCTGGAACTACGAATTCTCACGGGTTTGGGAGTTTAGGTCACACTCTTCATAGTATTAAGAACAATAATGACAGTATTCATTATTATTACGATTCTTGCCGTTGTCAATGTTATTGTTGTTTTTATTGTATTATCATTGTTACTATTGAAATTGTTAGTCGTATTGCTACTACGGGTTTGGGGAAGGGTTCTTCCCACCAGTAGAGTTTCACAGTTGATAAACCCTAAACCCTAAAACCTAAACCCTAAACCCTAAGCGCCTAAACCCTAAACCCTATACAACCTAAAACCTAAACCCTAAACCCTGAACCCTAAGCCCTAAACCCTAAACCCTAAAACCTAAACCCTAAACCCTAAGCCCTAAACCTACACCGGAAGCCGCCCACCTGAGGCGCAGCTGAAGCTCGCAGCCGACGCCTTCTGCGCGTAGCCCTGCTCGGTGGACCCGGGAAGCTGGGAAGTCTAGATAGCCGTTTTAGGGTTAGGGTTTAGGGTTTAGGGGGACTTTACAAGTTTCGTGGCACCAGCGAATAGTCAGAGACGCAGAGCAAGAGTCGACTGAGTGTACTTGGGCGCCTGTTTGGTCGCTTTTTCCATGCACGAAGCATGCAGCTATCAAGGGCGCCATGACGATGCCTCAAGGCGGCAGCAGCAGCCGTCCCCTTCCACACCCCAGCACTCATGACCCAAGCGTGCTCCGGGAGGGCACAGGACAGGGTCGGGTGCATGTGCACGCAGGGGAACGACTGCGTCTGCCGAGAAGTACTCCAAGCTCGATCCACAAAAATCCCGCATTGTTCGGCGGACTAATCAACACACTGTGAAAGTCTGGCAACGGTGTTGCTGTGGACTTGTGCACACATGCAGACCTGGCAGTCTTTCAGAAGGAGGGGCCTCGCATCGTCTCCCTGAAAAGGCGATTCCGAGAGGATGCCTACAAGATGCCAGTGCGACAGCGCAAGGCTCAGCGCTGCCGGCCTGAAGTTCATCCTCAAGCGCGGCTGTCAAGTCCTTCTCCCCACACTGCTGGGCTGCCCAAAGCGTCATGCGCAACTCTTCCAAGTCTTCCACCTTGTCCGGTATGCGCTTTGAAAGAGCTGGCACGGCATCCAACACCTCTGGCGATGCATCTTGGAGTTTCGCAGCTGCCCACAGGCAATTGGACAACTCTTGGGGAATCATCTCCTCAACCTTGTCCGGTATGGGCTTTGAAAGAGCTGGCACGCCATCCAGCACCTCTGGCGATGCATCTTGGAGCTTCGCAGCTGCCCAAAGGCAGTTGGACAAATGTTGAGGTTTCATCTCCTCAACCTTGTCCGGTATGCGCTTTGCAAGAGC